TAATGCATTCTCAAGTATTTTAAGTCATGCTCCACTTTTTAAATTAAGGATTTGTGAATAGATGTGAAATATGGCAACACAAGTTCTGCTCTCTGGAGATTCAGGTTCCAATTTATAATGGATCTGACTATACTTTGAGGATTACGCAGTTCATTCATTGACCACTGGGTGGTATGACTGGCACAGATGTTCCCTCAGAGGCAGAGAAGTTGAGTGTTGTGGCTATGTCCAGCAGATGTCTCTTTCCCACCATGTAATATTTATTTAACTGTTTCGTCTATAAAGGATTTTAAAGGGTCAGCATTTTTAAGCCCTTTGTGCTTCTTATGAAACTATTGCCAATTGCATACTAGATGATTAGTAAAAGTCAATATGATTCAGAAAGCATTACTTTTCATACTAAATAATTTTAATCTGACACAGAACACTTATGTTTAATTAAACTTGTCATAGAAGTACTACAGATATACACAGATTTAGAATACATTGGGCTAAAATCAATTTTCAATTATGCATGTGTAAATCTGAAGTACCTCAGCAGTAACCAATGGAATTAAACCGACGTACACAGATGGAAATGAGAGCAAAGTTTAGTCCAATGTTAAAATTTCCTTATGCAGAAACAGTTCTGTAGGAAAACTGAACTATAGCAAGGTTGCACAGATATAAATGCATGAGTGCAGTAGTTACCCTTATTTAAAGTAGCTGCTACAAATCGATTAATGGAATGGCTAGCAAATATTGCATCTTATTAACAAAGGCAAGTCTCTTCTAAGAGATTACTATTTATAGCTCTGAATACTAGAGATGGGCTTGACCCAGTACCCCAGATTGAAAGCTCTGAACATACAAAACTGACTTTGACATAATTCTAATTAAGGGTTTGTAAGATTGATGACCCTTCTGCCTAGAGTCCAGATAACAATTTACCCAATTGTATATAGTTGCATACAAATGAAAAAAAAGTATATTTCTAATAATGGCTTGAGTAGTGAGAGGTTTATATTTTCCCCTATCTGATTCCCTCCTCCCTACATTTATTTCTCTTACACTCACACATAACATTGGGAGCATTTCTCACATTTAAGCGCTACCAAATTTTTATTGTTTTCAAAGCCTACATCACTTTTCTTCTTTCACAGACATAAATGCTGGTGCTATTGGAGAAATATGAAAACACAGATTGAGTACAATGTTTGATGGATCTGTTCTACTGTTCAACTGGCTTTTGAAAACTGATCATATTTTCAGGTAACAGGGGACTCATTAACTATACAATGCATACATATTTCATATTAAAGCTGCTGAATGTCCCTAAAAGTGAGGAAAGACATATGAAATAGAAGACCTACATTGCAGCCAAAACAGTCATTTACCAGATACTTTTGCTTTTATCCCCCTCTGGGATGAAGTGAGCACCTGCATGATTAAATCTAAAGTAGTACATTTAGTACACACCGTCAGGCCCAATTCTATGAACTTCAGAATGCCTCTGAGCTATCTAGGTGTAGTATCTTACAATATTGACGTCAGTGGAATTTGAAGATGCTAACCTCTATCTGGGAGGTGCTGAGCACCGTGCAGATGTGGATCCAGTATCAGGGGAAAATTCTTCACTATACAGGTGCTAAAGCAAAATACAGGGACTTTTTTGAAGAAGGTTTAAACTGATTACATTTACTTCTGAAGTTATATTTCATGCAGTTTATTATTAGTTTCCAATTCATGAAAATTCACACTTCTGTGTAAATCACTGAATGATTCAGGATATTTCTACCATGTTTGAAGAGTGAAAATTCTCTGTGTATCTGCTTCATTTGTCCAGATTTGAGGAAAGGACTTAAGCCATGATTTCCAAAAACATAAGTGTAAATATAAGCTCCTAAGTCTTTATTAAGACACATAATAAATAGCCTGACACAGGTGCCTAAATATAGATGCAAAAAATATCTTTAGGTTAATTTTTTTTTAAATTTTGGACTAAACATCTTATTTATATATGTTTTCAGGCATGGAATGCTAAGATGGCTTTTCATATAACTGTTTTATACAGAAGGAGTGCGACTAGACTGGCAAGATGCAAAAACTTGCCACCTGTCTACACTGGCCGCTTGAATTTGCGCAAGAGCACTGACGTTCTAAAGTAAGAATTCAGTGCTTCTTGTGCAAATACTTTGACTCTCCCACTCAGGGATAAGCCCTCTTGCACAAGAGGGCCAGTGTAGACAGGGCACCTTAATTTTTTGCGCAAGAAAGCCCGATGGCTAAAATGGCCATTGGAGCTTTCTCGCGCAAAAGCACGTCTATACTGGGCATAGATGCTTTTGTGCAAAAACACTTTTTGCTCAAAAGCATCCGTGCCAATCTAGATGCTCTTTTGCGGAAATACTTTTAACGGAAAAACTTTTCTGTTAAAAGTATTTCCGCAAAATCATGCCAGTCTAGATGCAGCCAAGCAGTAACAACATATTAATCACATAACTTTATGCAGCAAAGGAATTAAAAGTGATATATTAAAAAGTAGTTATAGAAATGAACACAGTGTTTTGCCTCCCAATTGGAACAGGAGCCAGGAAACACTTATCTCGCCCCAGAACACTGGAACCACCAGCTTCTGTCTTAGTTGGAAATTTTCTGTCTTAGTTGGTACTTGTACTCACACTTTGTATTTCCTTTAGCTTAGTTCTTCTTTTCTAGCACATTGGTGCTGGATGTCTGCGAGCATTCTATATATCATCCATGTTACCTATGAACATACAGAACACCTGCTTATTCTGATTCACCCAGTCCTCATGAAGACTCTCCCAATTTTTGACAGCAGACCTCAAGCAAGTATTACATGATGTTAATTTCCTTTCTGAACCATGTAATAACATGCCTTACACTCAATTCCTGATGTCATTCAAGCAGTCCAGTCACTGGGATAACACGTCAAGATTTTGTAATGTATATAAAAGTAATACATTTGTTCTGCTTTACCCCATTGTTATGAAGGTGTAACTCCAATGAAAAGTGGAATCATTCAGTGGTAAACCTCGCTTTTTAAAAATGTAAAATGTCAAACTGTCAGCTGTATAAATCAGCATGCTCCATTCACTTCAATGGAATGACACCAATTTATACTAGCTGAGGAGCCAGATCATAGATTCTACAAAGGGTCAGTTATCTATAAAACAGTATTTTACAGCAGCTATGCCAGATCCTCTCTAAATACAGGGTTCAACGTTCATGTAAATGTCTTAAATGCACCGGAGCTGAAAGGATTTTCCTAGAGCTGTGGATGGTGGCTAAAAATTACTTGGAAATTTCATATTTTCTGTAGAATCAAGGAAAAAATGTGTATGTTTGTCATCGCTCTTATTGCATTCCCTCTAAAACCAGGATTCCAGTCTACACCTGCCCTCCAGCTATGAACCAGCTACAAAATCCTGCTCTGAACTGTACTTAGGCAAACACATTTGCAGATATTAGAGAAACCTGAACATTTCTCATTGTCTTTTATTACTACCCTTCCTCCTTCTTTAGCTTAGGTGTTTCCTACAGTTTGAATCTTCATGTGATGGCTCTACCTGATATACACTGGCATTAGATACTATTAACAGCTGAATCTTTTAAATCACTCCTTGAAAACAGTATTTTTTTTCTCTGCACTTGTTTTGGCATCTCCGAGATTAAGAAGTCATGCAGCTTGACAAAGCACTTTATTCCTACAAGTCTTAACAGAACCACAGGGATTCCCCCCACCCCACGTCTCCATTCCAACACCTGTTGCAAAAAGGCTGAGGTGGTCTCAGTATAACTTTGTTCTGCCCCTCCTCCAGCTAATACATAGTTCTCTGTACATACTGTGGTATAATTTGTAAATGAATCACAACAGCCCCCAAAACACTATTTGTAATAGTAAGATTTGTATTAAGTAAAGTCTAGAAGTTGTAGGCTTTTTTCAGGTTTTTGTGTGCATGCATTTTAAATTTTAAACATACTTATCACTGAGTGGCTTTTCTAAAGAAATCCAGGTAATTGACAAAAAGTAAGATATGTTTAGAAAACTTGCAATATTTTATGAATGAAATACACAACAAGGTTATGTTTTTATATAAAAGCCTGCAGATTCCTTGTGTTTTCTCTAAAAATCCCATAAGGAAGTATGTCTAATGGGGTTTCAGATTATCCTGATTATTCAGCTGTTTTGCTTTTTGCTTAGTATCTATATATCTTTCAATGTCCTTAGATAATCAGGAGTACTTCACTTGGGGAAAATATTTAATTCTGTGCTAGGGCGATTAATGGAGTGACACAATTGCTCAGTTGCCACAAGGAAGGAAATGAAAGGTCCTTGCATTTTGGAGATGTTTGTAACTAAAAATATGTACATTCCTAGTATTTAGAATCTGAAACAGTCCATGAGTTTAACAAAGCCCGAATCCTGCTGTGAAATACTCCTTTCCATTTGTTGCTACTGCTGCTACTTTTGTCTCATGGAATGTACCTTGCTATCTGCTATTTCTCAAAAGGTGGGGATCGAGTATTTATTAATCTACAAAAACTCCCAACTAAAACTTTTCAAAGTGCAGTTTCCAAACACAACCAGCACCTCCTAACCACAGTCTCTCATCAGCAATGTAGGCTGAGTTGTTATCTTGTAATGTGCCCTTCCCCCCCCCCTTTTTTTTTCTTTTTTGCCCTTAATGAACAGTTTGTTCCATTGTATTTCTTTTATCAAACATCTGGAAGCCAGACTTGTTTTAAAGAGATGTTTTAGTTCATATGACTTATCCAATTCCCTGTTAGAGAAAAAAGAAAAGAAGAAGAATGCGGCTAAATCAGTGAAATTACCCCCTGTGTAAAGTACTCTAACTTAACACATTTTTGTAGGCAGAAATTCTAAAGAACAACATGCACCCACTTTGCACCAGAATAATTCACTCTGACAACAGATTCTTCCTCTGTTCACAGCTGTCCCAGTGGGAGGAGCTGAAACCTGAAACAAATCCTTAACTTGTAGCAGGGATTGGATCCTTCATGCAAAGAGAAAGAAAACCCTCCCAGCAAAACAGGCTGCGTTTGTAAAAGTGCTCTAGCAAATTCAGAAGTGATTGGATGAAAAGAAAACCTTGGCCCTTCCCTCCTGCACCTGACTAGTGGATATTTACAGCACTTTTCAAGGAGCCTCTCTGCACTGCCACTAACACATTTTTACTGCATGGATTGAGCTGAGTAGACAATACTATAGGGACCAATGTGCTAGCTGTGATTCTGTGTGCTGCACACGATCTGGGACCGTTATTCTAAGCTGAAAGGAGATTCTGGAAGAAAGAAATTCTGCATTCAAAATGCCACGATCTTTCCTGGTCAAGAAACATTTCAATTCATCTAAGAAGCCAAATTACAGTAAACTGGACACTCATACAGGTAATAAGATTTAAACATATGCTATAGTGAATGAAAACTGCAGTTGTATTTATTCCTTGGCAATGAAGTAGGTTTACCTTTTAGTTTTCCTGCTTCAAGACAAGATTTGGTTTATTCCTAGCATCTTCTGTTTGCTTAAAATGATTGCTTTTTGAGAAACGTGGAAGTGCCAGCCAGAATGAAACACTGCCAACTCATCAAATTGAACCCCATTATTTTTTGAGGAGTTACGTTTATTTCCTGTTCTGTGCTTGTTGTGAATGGAATTTCTAACTTGTATCTAGTTTGAAAGTTTGGCTGCTGAATGTATTTGATTGCATGAATTTAGAAACAGCATGTTTCTTTGAATAGACCTCCAAACCATACTGTGCTTGTTTAAGTACACTGTACATATGTATGTATGAATGCATCTGTATATATGTATAGAACTTTTACTCATTTAATCCTTGTTACATGTATTTGGATCATGTTTGTGGTGTTTCATTTCTGCATTTTTAACCATATAAGCAATTTATTTTATTGCCTTTAAAGCAATTTTCCACTTTTCCTAATACTTTCTTTTTTCTTTTTCCCCAGTGATCATTTCCCCATACCTTTATGAGAGCTATCCAATGCCTATCATCCCACAGCCAGAGATCCTGAGCTCAGTAGCTTACAATCCCATTACTGTGTGGACTACAACAGGGCTGCTGCCCTCCCCGCTACCCAATGACCTCTCTCCTCTTTCTGGATACCCCTCATCCTTGGGAAGAGTCAGTCCACCTCCACCCTCTGACACCTCATCCAAGGATCACAGTGGCTCAGAAAGTCCCATTAGCGATGAAGAAGAGAGAATCCAATCAAAGCTTTCAGATCCCCATGCAATTGAAGCTGAAAAGTTTCAGTGCAGTTTATGCAACAAGACCTATTCAACTTTCTCTGGGCTGGCCAAACATAAGCAACTGCACTGTGATGCCCAGTCTAGGAAATCGTTCAGCTGCAAGTACTGTGACAAGGAGTACGTAAGCCTGGGAGCCCTTAAGATGCACATCAGGACCCACACACTACCTTGTGTCTGCAAGATCTGTGGCAAGGCTTTCTCTAGACCCTGGTTACTTCAAGGGCACATCAGAACTCATACTGGTAAGAAAATCCATTAGAAATGCAATGCGTGAATTTTATCCCATCAGAATGCAGCTGATTATTAACTTTTATGGTTTGTCCTAAGTAACTACTAGTGTCCTTAGCATGTTATTGATATTTACATGGACAGTTATTTCCTTGCTATTTTTAAAGCATCATTATAATACAAAATTCACTCTTTGTTGGAACAATTTCTCACATTCATGGACCAGGTCCTCTGCTGGTGTAAATCAGCATTGCTCCACTGAAGTCAATGACATTTTATACCAATTTCCAACAGCTAACGATTTGGCTGGTGTGACTTGAGGCTCACACTTAGATTCTCTGAGAGGTTTTGTGTATATAGAGAAGGCTCGGTTTGACTCGAGGACCAATTAGAAAATCCCAAACGCTAAAAGATATACTCTGTGAAACAAATGTTGCTAACAGAAACAAATCCTTACCTGAGTTTGTTTCCTAAGACAATGATTCTGGTGTAGCACTGGGCACAATGTGTTCTGTCGGAACAGCTGTTTGCTGCATTTCAACCCTAAGTAATTTATGCCGCTCTAGGTATAACACAGGCTAACCAAAATGAATAGAAGGAACATTTGGAAACTTTGGGAGGAGCCCAACCTGCAGGCACTAGCTGCACCTGTTGAGGCTGAAAGCTTGTCAGCAGCTTGTCTTTCAAGACTACACCAAGCAGTAGTCCCTGACAAGTCCCAAGTATCCCAGTACAATCAGCAGTGCTGTGAGCATTAACTGTAATATCTGCAGCCTACTCACCTCTGTAGTGCAGACTTCAATTATTAAAACAAGTCATTTTTGTTTCCTATGGGAAAATAGGACAATACCTATTCCCAGAGATACTTATTGCTTTCAATGCTTAACTTTTTCTTTAAACATTTTTTTTAGGAGAGAAGCCTTTTTCGTGCCCTCATTGCAACAGAGCTTTTGCAGACAGATCGAACCTGAGGGCCCATCTGCAGACCCATTCAGATGTGAAGAAATACCAGTGCAAAAATTGCTCCAAAACTTTCTCCAGAATGTCTCTCCTGCACAAACACGAGGAATCTGGCTGCTGCATAGCGCACTGAGTCATGCAGTCAGTGTTTACCTGGATCCAATGCATTTCTCCACTCCTGTTCCAAATGATAAGTGGAAACCAAAAGGCATTTTCTCTTCTTCCCAACCTCCTTCCCTCACCTCAGTCCATCCCCCAAAGTGGAAGAACGTATAATATCAGTAAAAAATAACTTAAGCATTTCTGCTAAATAACTTAAGTGTGAATTCTGAAATGAGAGGGGGGAAGAACCATGCATGACATTTCAAATAGATCATAAGGAAAAAGCATGATCAGCCTTCTTCAGTGATGAAGCCAATGTGCATAGACTTTTCTTACTAAGAAAAGTTGCATAGCATTAACAGTACATTCCTGCCAAATCATTTCAACCAAAGAAAGAGTATTTAAAAAGGAAATAATAAAAATCTTACTCCAAGAGAATTTGCCAGACAACATTTATCTCAGGTGCCTTATAAGGTATTTCAAGTTTACTTTAGTAAATGTCTAGTAGTACTAGGGTTTTTTAATTAAAACCAAAGGCCTCTATTGATGATCTGAACTGTTTTAACGCTAAATAGCGCAAAGAAGAGGAATAAAAACACGTAAGAGAATGTATGAAAAATGATCTGCCATGTTTTTAAAGTATGTGCCTTTAAAAAAGACTGTAGCTTCAAACATTCCTGGTGCATGCTTGACCCATCTTTTAATATGGAATAGTTCTTCTAAACTTTTAATCTTTTTTAAAAAACGGGAATAAGTGCAAGAGAGGGGGTTCATGGGAGTTTGACAATGACTTTTTGAAATGCACAAAGAAAATGCAATATATTCAACATTACCCCTCCAAGTGCCTTTTCTATTAATGGTTTTGTAAAGTATGTGGATACATTGTAAATATTTTTATTTTTATATGACTGAATGTGTTGTGAATGAAAGTGAAGTGTTGCCTATAACAGCACTTATAGGTAACTTGAAGAAAGTATGAAGTGAATCTTGCTATGTTGTTTTCTAGCCACTTTTTTACAATAAACTTTTTTGTGTAATATGTCTGTTGTTTGTTCTAAGCACAAAGACTTTATCTGAATTATCAAGCACACAAAGTTTTTTTCATTAAAAACATGAAAGTGAAAACTGGTTTTCAAATATGAATTGTTAATTCATGGTTGTTGTGCCTGAATAAGTAAAATGATCCTCTGGGAGATGTATTTTTCCAAACCACATAAGAAGTCTATTTTAAAACACCATTAGACTCTCTTTAACCCAATATCAGTTTTGCTAAGAGCCCTGATTAAAAGAGAAATATTCTGTTTTATTGAATTTTAAGAGCTAAGATTCTCCCATTACATTAGGATCATTACTATTGCCATACTTTTGTGACCATCTTTTCATGGTGCATAGAGTTTACAAATTTGGGCATGATCCAAAGTTCATGGAAGACACCAGTTATTTCATAATTCCATAGAGTCTAGGTCATGCCCTTTAAGAGCAGTATTCCAATCTAGGGATGTTAAATATCAGTTAATTGAATAGTCGATTATCCTCATGAATTCATCCTGGTTATTCGGCTATTCTATAGTCCCTGGAGATGGGGCCGGCAGCTAGTGTGCTCCAGACCCACTCCCAAGGAGAGGCAGCAGCATGGAGTACCAGGCAGGAGCTGGTCCACGAGGGGAGCCAGTTTAAAAAACAGCTCCCCTTGTAGATCAACTGCCTGTTACCCTACACGGTTGCCTCTCATACAGAGGCAACAGTGCAGGGAGGCAACAGCTCCTGTCTGAGAAGGGTCTGAGCTCCCAGACCTGGCATGAGCCAGAACTGAGCCAGGCTGCTTACCCACCTGGCTCCTAATACACTAAACACAGAGTTGCAGCAGAGGTAGGTCCCAGACCCACCACAAGCCAGGTCTGAGCCCAGGCGGTTATACAGCCTGCAAAAAATCTACTGGTAGCGTGGAGGAAATGTGTAATCTATAGCATTAACCAATAAGCTTTTGCTTATTGATTAATCAACTACATTATTACATCCCTATTCCAATCACAATATATTGTATATTTGATTAACTGTTTTCAGATATATATATATTGCATCACAGATTTGTTTTAAATAATTGTATGAAATATTCATGCGCAAGTATTATCATGCTTTACATGGGAGACCATATCAGAAGCATGTTTGAGGGGGATACATTGAGGTGATGGCTTGACTGCAGGCTTCCTTTGGAAGACGCTTTTCTGGAAGAGATCTTCCAAAAAATTTCTTCTGACAAAGAGCGTCCACACTACCAAAGCACATCAAAATAGTGATCTGCTTTTTTGAAAGATAGCGTCCACACTGAATGGATGCTCTCTCACATTTGGGCTGTGATCACTGTGGATGGAGTGACCACCAGGGCACCTGTGCTTTTTCCTTTTCTTTTGAAAGAACTCCCTCTACCCTGTCCGCACACGCCTTTTTCCAGAAAAGCTGTTTTGGAAAAAGGCTTCTTCCTCGTAGAAGGAGGTTTTCCAATATCAGAAAAACATCTCTGTTCTTTCGATTTTCTTTTGAAAAAATGCGATTGCAGTGTGGACGTAACTCAAGTTTTGCCAGAGAAAAAGCCATTTTTCCGACAAAAATCTGTAGTATAGACATACCCTTATAGATGTAGAATCAAAGAAGCCCTGGGCTACTGAATCCAAGAAATAATTATATATACTGACTCACAGCTAACCATAAAGTGTAATGATTTTGTTTTAGATTGCTTCATTGAGATTTCCAGGACTTGATTCTAAAAGTGTGACAAAGTGTTACATGAACAAGTGCTGTTCCATTACACTATACGAAGCAAAATAACACAGGGCAGTTTACAAAATGCATACAATTGTTCTTCAGATAAATACAAACTGGAAACTAATTTACAAGGGCATGACAAATACTCTACTGTGCTAACAGGAACAAAAAGTAGTAACATTTTCAGTAAAGCAATCAGATAAGACTTATAATGCACACAAGAAACAGATTTTTATTTAAATAAGAAGTTGCTATTTCAGCATAATCACATTTCTTGCCCTCTCTACATCTTAAGTTCCTGCAATAGGACAACTTTAATAGGGTATTTAGAATATTAGAATTTTCTTTGTGAATATCTACACAGAGAACGAACTTTAATTATATGCACTGGAAGTACTGCATTTCAATAACCCTGACTTGGATGAAGATTTTCATATATAGCAAACATCTGTAAAATAACATTACCATCGTCTTTCATTATATTTTTGCAGGAAGATAGCATAGGAAATATAAGCAGCCAGATACGGAAATTTAAAAATTAAATGCAATGAGCATCAGTGAGAATTTATGAGGTATCATTTTGAAATGAACCTGTGAAGGCATCAAATACGCTTGAAAAGTGTCATGTGGTTACTCTATTGATCTACACTTACACGTTATTCACTTTGAAGTTCTTAGGTATCTGAAAGCAATTTGATCATGCCACCTTTGTCTTTTCAGAGTAAAGTTTATCTGTGAAAGTAAAGCTCTGACAGTAAACAAGTATTCTGTGTAGCTTTATTTCCAATTGTCTCTGCAAACATTTTGGTTTTACTCTTTTATTTTCATGCACTTGACTTTAGAAAGGAACTTTCCATTGTTTCAGTTCACACTATACTTCCAATTCTTTAGTTCCCCAATAAAAATAACTAGGGTAAATAAAAACCAGCTCATTTTTGAATGAATTTAATAAAAATGTTGCCATTGTCTTCAATGGGAAGATCAAACCTTATCACCATTAAAACAGTTTGCTAAACTGTACAGTAGAGCTAGTGGACTGATTTGGAAGGTGCAAGTTAAGATTACACATAATCATAGAACATAGAAATGGCAAAATTTCGTTGCATTCTTTAATTCTGTCTTTCAAAAATATAGTCCCTATAGTACATTTCTAGTGCTTTATCCAGTCTAGTTTTAAATATTCCAAGTAATAGAGTGGTTCTACTTTCATAAGAAATTTACAGTCAGGATGTTTCACACAATATTTAGCCAAAAATATTCTGGTTTTAATTTAATTATATTACTCTTACTCATGCTCCTTATTTCAGTCCACATAATTCAACTTTATCAATCAAATTCTATTCTGAGAATCATTCATACAGCTCCCATTAACTTACTGGGTGTTTTACAAGAGAATTTGTCTCTGTGCTTGGTACTTTTACCTGTTACTTTTTTTTACTATTATCCTAGTCTTGATAGATATCTCCAATACCTACTATGCATAATTGGTTTTTTTTCTATGAAAGACTCCAGCCCCTAATAGCTGTTGTTACTCTTTTCAGAACTCCCCGCTTTGTCACTATGTTTTCACCTTTGAGAAGCCCAAAGTTGAATGTCATGGGTTTTGGAGATAGAGTTAGGGCTAGCAATAAGCCAGCCACTACTATAAAGCAGCCTGCATAATAGAGGCCCATATTTGAAGCATCTGACTATCTACAGGATTCCCGAGTGTGCTGATCTCCTTTTCTGAAATATAAATAGGTCCTTATCAAACCTACCTAGATGCTAAGGATACTGACAGGTCTTATTTGGACCTTCAGCTATTAAAGTGGCATGATGTAACTCTTACATGTTGCATATAGCTTTGCCCTTGCCATTCACCAATGACTAGTTCAACACCAGTGATGTGTGAGAGGGATTGATTGATTTATGGTTTTCATCTCAAACAATTTAAAGTGTAAAATGTGCTTCACAGAAGATGATGATAAAGATGATGATGAAAAACACAAATATACTACAATTGTCCTGACTCTCAGCTAATCCAGTGTTTAGAAAGATAACTGGAGTCTCTGTGGCATGCAGTAAGTTGTCTAAAGCAGTGATGAGGCATGCTTCTCAGAATTAATCACCAGGGAATCTTTGTGTTTAGATATTCTTATTTCACTGTTATTTATAATGTGTGTTATGATATTGCTTGCCACCCTCAGCCCAGATTAAGTCCTAATTACATTAGGACCTAAATGATCCCATGCAAGAAAGAGCAGCTAACCCCAAAGAACTTACAACCCCAATAGATAAAACAGATGATGGAGGAGTTGGAAATCAAATCCCAATCTCTTGAGCTCCAGTTCCAGACTGTGATGATTCCCATCACCTGGAAGGCAAGAGAAAGAACTGGAACTAGTCACAGTCTGCACTAGGGAGTAACTAATTGTCTCCTGGCTTGAGGATGCAGTACTATGTCTTATAAGTAGGCTGAGGGAGCTAAGTTGAGGAGGGACTGCTGAAGACGTTGATCACTCTGATGGAGAGAAGGCCTGTGACAGGGTAAAACCACACAGGTAACAATGGAGAAGGGAAGGCCTGGAGTAGGATCAATAAATGAACTCCAGTGATGCCTGAGAGGTGTGAAAGGTCTGTTAGTTTGAAGATTTGTGTGGACTTTGGCCAAGGCCCAGAGCACTATGTGTGAGAGTTGGGAAAGGATACAGATCTGAGGCAGATCCCAATAGGGGATTCCAAAGATGAGGACCCCTTATGAAATGTTGTGCCCAGGCAGAGGAGGGTGCTCTGGAAATGGCTACCAAAATGCCAATCCATACTTCGTATGGAAATATACTATTTCTATTCTTAAAAGACATTCACATTTGTATCCCTTTGAACATTGTTTGTTTGGATTTCTTTATAGTCCTGTGCTTTAAAATCCCAAATGCTCTTTTAAAAATGTAATTTGTAGCTAGATCTATCAGTGACAGACCCATGTGGCAGGAGTCTTGAAGATAGAAGAGAAACATTTCAACATGCATATGTATTTTTAAATGCAAGACAGAAAAATAAAGTGAGTGACCTGATGCTACATATCACTGATGGGCTATGCCAAGGTTCTGGAAGCAATAATGAGGTAATATGAGAAGAGAGGGCAGGATGGGCAAGTCTCTATTACAAGTGGGCTTGTCCATTATAAACAAAGGATGCTTGTATTCTCAGTTCCTTCTTTTTAGATAATGTCCCATCTCCCTCCTCAGCATTGTTTAGGGTATGTGCTATTTCCTTATTCTCCTCTCATTGCCAATAGGA